TCTGTCAGTGGTGCAGAAATCGCAGAAAACTCAGAAATATATCTTCGATAATACCCCATTAAGTTCTAAAAATGAACGGACCTGTGTTTTTGTTGGTAGGTTTAGGGAAGTCCTTTATGGCTTAGATTTTTATTTCTGCTGGTCTTCTTTGACCTTGTCCTACTACATGACCTAGATATTTGACGGTCATTTTAGCAAACTAACATTTCGAAGGCTTAATATGCAGTTTAGCAATTTTCATTTTCTCCAAAATAATTTCTAAGTGCTTCAAATGTTCTTCCCTGGTTTGCGAGAATACTGCAACATCGTCAATATAGGGTACAGCAAATTCTTCACAGTTTCGTAATAATCTTGCCATCAATGAAGCATCGCACTGAATATGGTGCATTTTTTAGCCCGAAAGGTAATCTTAAAGGTTTAAATGTTTCAAAACTTGTGCATAACGAGCCTTTTAGTTTGGGATCTGCCAGAACCTGCAGAGTTAGTTAGTAGAACATCTGCCATACCTGGCAGATGAACTCTTTTTATAAATGTTCAATATTTGGCAAGAGAAAATATTGTGTTCTAGTGTTCTTGTTCAAGTGCCGGTAATCAGTGTATGGTCTTGCCTCTTTTCCAGGAACTTCAGCCAGTATGGGTGGGGAGATAAAATCTGATTCACCTGGTTCTATTACTTTGAGTTTTATCATCTTTTCTATTCCCGTTTTTAAAATCTCGGTTTGTCTGTCAGACATCTGATAAGGTTTTGCGCATATTGGTCTTTCTGCTTCTAATTCTATATCATGTTCGGTAAGGTCAGTACATCCTGGTTCATTAGAGATAATACAGGAATACTTGTATATCAACTGCTTTAAATCTTTTCGTTGGTCTTCAGATAATAGTGAATTCAACTGGATGCCTTGCAAAACTTCAGACATTTCAATATTTGCATTATAATTTAGACTCGGTATTTCATCTTCATAGCCATTTATTCTGCCTTCTAAACATAGCAAGTTTATATTTTCTGCTCGTTGAAAATATGGTTTCATCATATTAATGTGGTACACCTGAGTTTTATTTTTTTCGGGGGAACTCGTCTACATAATTTGTCTCTGATAATTGTTGAACTTTTTTCCAGGACCTACCCATTTAACTGATAGTTTGTTTGGCTTCGATGGAGCTACAACTAGAACTAAGTCTCCTTGAAATTTATGTTCTAAGGCTGTGTGATCATACCAGAGTTTTTGCCTTTTTTTGGCTTCTTCCATATGGACGACTAGTTCTTGACATTCCTCATTAGTTCAAATATGCTCCACTACTGTATTTTTTTCCTCTTCTTTACCACATAATTTTTCATACAATAGCTTAATTGGAGTTCTTAAGTTTCTGCAGGCGAGAAACCGGTACTGTCGTGAATAGCCGTTCGAAGAGCAAATAAAGCCTGAGGTAAGATTTTTATCCCAGTTCGGACCAGATTCTAGACATAGGACTCGAAGAATTCTTTTTAAAGTTCTATGCATTCTCTCTACAGGATTGCTTTGTGGGCGGTAAACACAATTTCATACAACTTTAATTCCAAATTTTTCTAGGAAATTCAGTGTCGGCGTACTCGTAAAAGATATAGCTTAGTCGGTTTGGACCTCCTTTGGAAATCCCATTTGACTAAAAATTTGAAGGAAAACATCAACAATTGTGGTTGAACAAAGATTTGTGACAGGAACTGCATCCGGTTATTTTGAAGACATGCAGATTGCAGTTGTAAGATACTTATTTCCTGAAGGTGTCACGGGCAGATGCCCATGAGCATCAACTTTTATTTTTGAAAATATTTCTCTGATAACAGGGACAATTTTCAAAGGTGATTTCTTTTTATCTTGTTGCTTTCCAATTTTTTGACATTTTTTACAAGTTTTGACAAAATCCTCATCATCTTTGTAACAATTTGGCCAATAAAAATTTTTGAATAATGCATCTTTGGTCTTTGTTGCACCAAGATGAACTGCTGTTTCTTCATGACAAATAGTTATCAACTGTTTCCGATATTTTTCAGGAACAACAATCAGTAGTCTTTGTATTCCATCAAGATGTCCTTTTTTTTTTTTTTTTTTTTTTTTTTTTTTTGAAAAAGAAAATTTGGCGTTTCAACATATACCTCATACTTTTAAAAGATTTCATTTTAACTTCTTCATAAGTCGGCTTCAATTCGACGCTGTCCTTCTGTTCTTGTATAAATAAATATTTCTGGAGAGGCCTTTATCAGATCTAGTTTTGAATGTTCATAGTTCGCAGGAGATAAACTTTCATTTCCAGTCAATGTGTCTTTGGTGTTCAATTTCAGAATTAACTCATTTGTTGAAAGCAGATTTTCCGTTTCTTTTAGTCGTCGCTGTTGAGCACGAGTTTGTATGGCATTTATCATATGAATTTGAACTTCTTCATCTAGTTTTGCTTCTTCAAATAATGCAGCGGTTTTTCTACCTAGAAGATACCTTCCTTGATCTAATGAATCTCTTAAGACTGCAGCCTTTGTTATTATATGGGCAAGATCACTTTTAAGCTCTACCTCAGCCAAAGGTAAGCACACTGGATGTTCTTCCAGAGGTGTTTCTATCCACATGGTCTCACCCATATACATGGAAGGCTGTACATACTTTTGGCAAATTAAATCCAAAGATGCACCAGTATTTCTAAGTATGGGCATTTTATAGCCATTTACTTTACCTAGACTGGTATATGGAGCCATAATATCCTTAAAACTATTTTTGTAAATTTCATTTGAGGGTACAGTTTTATTGGATGCAACAGATTCTAAATTCTTCTTGAGTTTATCACACTGTGGTCGAAGATGCGAGTACGATCGGCATTCATAACAACGAGGTTGTCTCTGTTTCTCAAATTCCCTTTCATGAATTTTATTAGTACATTCTGCTCTAATTATAGGTTTAGGATTAAAATCTTTTGAGATTTTTTTAGGATTATGTCTATTATGATAACCACTTTGCATTTTGTTCACGTTTTGATGACTTTCTTGAAGTTTCAAACCTTGTTTTCTAAGATTTTCCCTCTTAAAGGTTTGTTTAATACTTTCATACTCGTCTAATTTTTCTGCTAGCTCATAGGGAGTTTTTAATTTCATCCATTGGTTTTGTTGCTCGATTGTACTACAGTACAAAGTCTTTAATCCAGACGACCGTTATCCGGAATGATCTATAAATCCGGACTTCAAAGCCACAAACTTTTTTTTGTATGCTTTACGCATGCACGTAATGCGTTTATGCATGTGCATTTAATGTTTACGCATGTGCGTTTAGCACAAAAAATGAAGCAACTTAAACAACTTACATTGAAAGAAATGTTTAATAAAGTAAACAAATAAATATTAAGCTTTTTTTTGTAAATTTTGAATCTCTTTAGATCATAATTGCTCTTTATTTCATAAATTTTGGTTTCATATTTTTAATTGTATAATTTCTGCATGCCATCTTAGCGGATTTAAATTGATGATCTATAATCCAGAAAAACCCTTAATCCGGAATCGCCGAAGTCCTGATGAGTGCTGATTACGGACTTTGCACTGTATATTTGCTGTTGATTCTCTAGCTCATATTACTTGATTTTCAATTTCAAGCCACTTTATTTCCAATTCATATGCCCTTGCTTCTCGAGCCAGACGTTCTTCTCTCGCTTCCTGAGGCAGGTGTTCTTCTCTCGCTTCTTGAGCCAGGCATTCTTCTCTCGCTTCTTGAGCTAGGCGTTCTTCTCTCGCTTCTTGAGCCAGGCGTTCTGCAATTATTTGGCTTAGAATTAATTTAACTTCTTTCTCATGGTAAAACTGACTTTCAGTGATTATCTTTTTAATTTCTGGGACCTTACTAATTAGCGACACTTCCTCGCCTAATTCTTCGGCTACTTCTATTAAATCTTGTTTTCTACCCTTGGCAAGAAATGAGATGATTAGAAATAGAAAAACTCTTCGACACCATTTCAAAATTAATTTTAAAAGGCCTTTAGTCAATATTCAAAAATTCAAATGAATGTGCTCAATCTAGCCTTTTTTTTATTAGAAACTCAAGTATGACACAACGTATTTTTTTTTTTCTAAAACACTTAATGCAATAAAACTTATGTGCTTTCCGATAAAAAAAATCTGCGAAGCTTGCTCTTAATAAATTGTACTGAAGTAAATAAAAAAGAATTCAAGCCTCTAACTTGATTCACACAATAAAATTCTTGATTTGTGACTCTAATACAAGAGCTCAAATTTCATAATAGAAATATTTTAATATTAATGTAATAAATTTGCCAACTTAATAAAAAAGCTAAAATTTTATAATAGAAATATTCTAATATCAACGTAATAAATTTGCCATTGTAATACAAGAGCTCAAATTTCATAATAGAAATATTCTAATATCAACATAATAAACTTGCCACTCTAATACAAGAACTCAAATTTTTTAATATAAATTTTCTAATATCAATGTAATAAATTTGCCTCTCTAATACAAGAGCTCAAATTTTAAAAGAACATTAAATATTTTGACACTTTAATCCAAAAGCTTAAATTTAGAATATCATTTTATTAGTTTAATTCAATAATAAGATGCAACATTTTCATACAAAGTGGCTCAGTATTAATTAAAATTATACTCACAAGTACTGTATTTTCTTTTGTTTTTAAATAAATACTGGTTTCACCTTCCATCCCAGCGACTACCACCAGATATTTATTCTTGTATATGTCTATAATGAAGTTTTAAAGAACTCCATTTTTGAAGGAACAACTAACTTTATTAGTCAAAATTTAGAGAATAACTGAAAAACATTTTTTAAGTGTGCACATCGCCTGCGGATATTCTTTGCGGATAATTGTCTGCAGTAATTTACATTTCTTAGTGGAATTATGTTGGTAGCGTAGCAATGCAAATACATTACAGTATGCATTATTAATTAATCAGAAAGGAATCTCATTATGCAGATTTAAATTATTCTGTATACATTTATGTCTAATTGCCTTTCAGTTGCATATCATTGTTGGATCCTTGTCGAAATGATTCTCGAGCTGCTGAATCTTGGCAGTCCTTACTTCAAAGAATCCGAAAGTTGATCCTTCAAGCTTACAGCCGTCAGTTGAGTCAATTTGAAGAATATATGCGTACACAAAGAGAGCGTCGTAATGAACATGGATGGAGTTTTCAAAAGTTTTTCTTCTTACAGGAAGAATTAGCATTTGTTTTAGAAATGTTAGGACTATATGATGAAGCTTTAGTTCAATACGATGAATTAGATGCTCTCTTCACACAGTTTGTTATAAATTCAAATGTTGGAGGTAAATATATTTCATACTGTATTTCATTAAAAAAGTATCAATTCTGTATGTAATGAAGTAACATATGTAATATTTAATGTGCACAATGCCAAAGCTGTGCGTAGTGCTAAATTCGTGCAATTGTCTGACTTTTTGTGTTAAAAAATATCAGAAATGTACAAGTTTGGCATCATGAACAACTTTGACATTGCGTACATTAAACATTATATATATTATTCACTGCACAGCTGTTCATGGTGCAATATAAATAGGCTACCGCATTTGGCACACATTTAATGGCTGACGTCCTGTTGCCAAAGTGGTTGCATTAATATGTAAGTACCTAACTCTTTTTACAAAACTTATCTGCATTATTATATCATGAATAATAAAAGCCCTTGATAAATTTATAAAGTTAATGGCTTGTACTTTTCACAATGCAATTCAGTTATTAGATTTCATTATTTCGATGCCCATGCTTTTATTATTCATGATATAAAATTGTAGAGCAATTTTTTAAAGAGAATAATTTAATCTCTTGTTTCCAGTAAACTATATGATAAATTATTTTTCTACTTTTAGTTGTATGATTATATTATAAGTTTTAAATAAAAGTTTATTTTATTAAATTTTTTAAAAAATTTTTAGTCTCAATGATATGTAGTCAGCCAAATTATTTAACCGAAAAATCATCTTTTAACAATAAATAGTTACTAATTTACTTCTAGCAATTCTGTTTCGTCAAATGGTTAAAAAAATCTGCCAAAAATTACGTCAAAATCTCCTATAAACTTAATTAAAAAGATTTTTTCCCCTCCCTACCTGATTGGGAGAGGGGAAAAAAAACCCTCAGATATTTAGCTTCTTTATTAAACAAAACTCTGTTCAAAAAGTCATTTCAATATTAAATTAAAAAAAAATCAATCAGTCTTTGAAGAAATTGATTTACTATTTTGTATTGTCATCTACAAACATTGTGTGTAAAATATTTGAATTCAATAGTTTATCAGGAAGTAGTTAAAAAATCAGCAACAGACTTCTAACTGTAGTGACAAATACCACTAGTGAGATGAATAAAACATTGGTATTAGGCAGTTGTATTTTCTATCATCAAAAATATATAATGAATATGGCATGTATTTCTTTAAAGCTATGTACTTCAGGTGTGTTAAAATTCCTACTATTAAAATGCCAGAATTTATTAACATTTTTATTTTTAAAATTTTGTTGTACAGTATTAAACTAATATCAAAGGCAGGAAAAATAATACATAAGTATGTATAAGCTTAATATTTTAAAAAGTATATATTTAAGAATATAAAATTTCAAATAACATATTTTAGATCAACTATTAGGCATTTATAAAAAATGTTAACTTAATGTCCTGTGAAATGTAATTGGGTTCTGCCGCCCAGATGGTTTAGTGGTTAGGGAAGCCGACTGCAATACTGAAGGGTCTGGGTTTAAATCCCAGAAAAGACATAGATGTAAATTGTCTGTTCCCTATAGAGGAGGTAATGGAGGCCGCTTATTAGGTGCTTTCAGAATAAAATGGCCCCATCGCTTTTGGCCTTAGATGTGGTCAGTGCTAGAAAGGCAAGTGCTCAGGCCTGTGCCAATAGGTGCAGGGTTGTGCTGCGGTGCTGAGTCAAAAAGGCACAGGGCAGCCTTAGAAACAAGCAGTCCATTTCCCTGCCTGTATGAACAGGAAAATTCTTGTCTTGTTCGAATGTAAAAATACATGATGTCGATGCGTATATAAGGGTAGACGCCAGCACTCTAGACGCATTTGACAAATTCCTTAATCCTTATTTTGTATCGACTGTTGCAATCATTGTAATTTGTGCAACTTTTATCTTTTTTGTGATTTTTTTGGTAATTGCTTGTAATTGTTCTTCTACATTAAAAAAAATGGTTGCAATTACATATTATGTTAAGCTTAGGTTAGCTTTTTAATTCAGAATAGCAACAATTTGAGCATAACTACTCGAAAAATGTTTTTTTTTACATGAACCATTTATTTATTAAATTAAAAATTGTTAGCTTTTGAGAAGAAAAGATTGACATATTACAGAATATCACTGAATTTAAAATATACCTAACTGAGATTTGAAGTAAAATAAAAATATACAAGGTGCTCTGAAATTAAAAATTGACCATTTTCCCATTTTTAGTAATATAGAAAACCGAAGAAAAATGTTTCATTATTTTATTACGTTTTAAATATATACTTTAAATTTGATTTATTTATTTTAATAAACAAAAGAGTACCACAAGCTATTGGAATTATTTGGTACTGATCTAATAGATTATATTTTTTTCAGCAGTGGTGTAAGATGTATTCATTTTTTCAGAAATAAGGTAAAATATACTCTTAGACAAAAAAAAAAAAAAAAAAAAAAAAAAAAAAGCACTACGATGCACCGAGAAGATATAATGCAAATTGGATACAAATTTAAACATGCATACAGGTTTCGATGAAAATGCAAAATTTTACATTTTGGCTGCTGATGAATGAACGGTTGTCTCTATAGCGCATCTGATCTGTGCAACTGGCAGGATATTTAAGAGGAGAAATTACAATTTCAGGTCATAAATTCTTCACGAATTTCATTCAGTGTACTCTGGTAGACAGTAACTATGCCTCGCATACAGGTGTGCGAATGATATGCGCAGATGTCAGAATTTGAGAGAGGTGGTGTAGTTGGGCTCAAAGAAGTTGGTTGCTCTTATCGGCGAATAGCGTAGAGAAATGTCAGAACGTGAAGACCGAGCAATTGTCAGAGCAGCACTCACAGCCCCAGATGCATCGTTGTCATCAATTGTACGTGTAATTAGTGCTTCAGTGACCGCAAGGACCATTCATAGACTGCTCTCAGAAAGGGGCCTGAGGACAGGAAGCCCCTTGCGCCGACTACCATTGACCTCTGTACAATGTCAAGCCCGTTTGCTCATTCACACTGAAATGTCACTGACTGAAGTAGAATAGTCTTCAGTGATGAGTCTCACTTTGAACTAAGACCCGATGACCAGTGAAGGTGAGTCTGGAGACGGGCTGGGCAGTGGTGTGATACCAACCTGACTTCCGGCAGACAGGCCGACAACCAGGAGTGATGGTCTGGAGTGCCATTTCATTTCATAGTAGGACCCCTTTGGTTGTCATCCGTCACAACCTTACAGCACAGCGGTACGTCAACAAAGTTCTAAGGTCCGTTGTGTTGCCCTTGATGTCGGGCCACCCTGGGCTTATATTTCAGCAAGATAATGCCTGCCCCCACATTGCACATGTTTTTACTGCTTGCCTTAGTGTTTGCCGAACATTACCTTGGTGTGCAAGGTCACCGGGTCTCTCCCCTATTGAGCACGTTTGGAGCATTATGAGCAGGGCCGGCCCTCAAACCAGCTCGGGATGTTGACAATCTAATGTACCAGTTGGACAGAATTTGGCATGATATCCCTCAGGAGAACATCTGCAACTTCTATCAATTGATGCCAAGCCGAATAACTGTTTGCATAAGGATTAGAGGTGGACAAACGTGTTACTGACTTTTTCACATTGTGAAGCTCTATCACTTCAATAAATCATCCAATTTTTCTCAAAATGTAATCATTTCTTTTTCTGTACATGTACATCACTTCTACCAATTTTCGTCTCATTCGGATAACTCCTTCTTGGTGCGTCGTTTTTTTTTTGTCTAAAAGTGTGTTTCAAACGGTGGCTTTCCAAGTGTTTTTAAGAAGTGTTTTACACAATTAGTTCTTATAACAGCTGTTTTCTTTTATTTTATTTTCACTTTTCCCAGGTGTTGGAAGAAAAACAGAACAAACTGTCTGGATATAAGAATTTACCGATGAAGAGAAGCGAGAGGAAGGCGTAATAAACCAGAATTTTAAAAATTACTCAGTTTTTCAAAAACACAGAGAATACCTACTGACTCTACCAACACTAGTTGTCTATCAGCATCTCAGTTACCACTAGAATTACCAAAATTTTCCTAAAAAGGACTTAATAATCAGAAAGTGTTTTACCCTGGAATTACCTTCAACTTGAATGCAGCCGGTTGAAACATCAGATGAAAGAATCGAAAAATCTTTTATTTTGTTTACCAAATGCCTGTCGTTTGGCCACTAGACCATTAAAAAATAGGTTCTCCATCTTGTCACATGACAAGAAAGAGCAGATAGTGTGGGCACTCATCCAAGCAGTCATAGCTTGTTCAGTCATACAAAGAGAACACGTTAACATTCTAAAAGTTGCATCTACAGCCGCATGAGGTGAGTCAGGAACAAGTTTTGGTCTAGAAAAGCATACATTCCAAGGTCTGCATTCAAAAGATGCAAAGCTGTGTCATGAAGAAAGTATCTAGAAATCTTAGCTATTTTCAATTTAGCTGAATGGAATCACAAATAAGTAAATACAGTCAAAAGTCGTTAATTCAGACACCCATAATCTGGACCTCAAAGCTACAAACTTTGTGCGTATGCGTCACATTGACGCATGCGCGTAAGACCTTTACAGCTGCGAATATGCATGTGCGCATGCGCATAATATATTTACGCTTATGAGTTTAATGTATAACGGATGGTATAAGCTAAGCTAAAATTATCTAATTCAGTTAATGTTGCAGATTGCGTTGCTCCTTAATCTTCGAATTCAATCCGGCTTATTTTTTGCAGACTGTTAGAGCAATTTTATAAAAGTAAGCTTGAACTTTCGATTATGTCAAATAGAATTTCTGATATATATTTACCAATATGTAAAGGATCTACAAAGCGAAAGTATGTTTCAATGTCCATTAAACAAAAAGTGGAATTACTGTAAAAAAATGGATAAAGGATAATGGATTTGTTTATCTAACCATTCCGAAATCTGTTTATCAATTTCACACTGCTCTGCGTGTGTGTGTAAGGGGGGGGGACGTCGCGGCGCGCAATGAACTGGAAGTTGATTTGTCAGCACTATCCTTATCTTCAGAGCAGATGTTTTTATTTTATTTGACTTATAATTCCTTACTAAATGTAGTATTTCATCTCGATGTACTCCGTCTCTGATATGATTTAAATCAAATTCCTCGTCATTGTAATTCGCTTCCGATAACGAAGAAACTTCGAAAACGAAAGAATTTCGATTGACAAATTAGTCGGTATTCTTGACACAGCAATTATAGGACTTGAACAGCGGAACTTTGTAACTGAACAAGAAATTATGTCTGTTTATAGAATTAAAGAGAAAGTATTGTCACATGAAAAAGCAACTTAACTTACACTGAAAGAAATGTTTAATAAAGTAAGCAAATAAATATTAAGCTTTTTCCTTTTGTAAATTTTGATACTCTTTAGATCATAATTGTTCTTTATTTCATAAATTACGGTTTCATATTTTTAATTTTATAATTGCATGCCATCTTACCAAATTTAAACTGATGATCTATAATCTGGAATCGCCGAAGTTCCTACGAGTCCGGATTAATGACTTTTGACTATAGTATCGCAAATAATAGTAAAATGTACAATTTGTGCAGTGGATATGCATTTGCTTGTGCATGATGATCCTGGATTATTGCCAAGTCCATTATTGTCAACCCAAATACAAGCTTTAGAAAATGATCCTAGATATTATCAAAACCTGATTTCTAGTTTTAGTTTGCTAAAAGACAAAAATTGATGTAAATTTTCTAAGATGTACCTTCGCCGAATCTTGCCAAACAACAAAATAATTAGAAGGGATTGGTTCCTGTATGCTGTTGAAAAGAATTCTGTTTATTGTTGCAAAATCTTTAACAATTTTAGCAATGTAAAATTGAGTAGTTTTGGATTTAATGGCTGGAACCACTTCAGTGAGCACTTAAAACTTCATGGAAAAGTAAACTGCATTTCCAGAATCTGCATCTTATGCCCAATTTCTTAGACCGATTATGAAAGGATAAAACTGTTAATTGAGAATTTATTAAAAAAAAAGAAACTAAGCATTGGCATGATATTTTTGAAAGAATCATCTATACCATTCAGTTTTTAGCTGAATAAAACATAGCCTTTTGTGGTGCCAGTAACAAACTATTAGAAAGAAATAATGGTAATATTTTAATGTGTATAAAAATTATCGCAAAATTTGACCCTGTCATGTCTGTACACATTAATAAAACTAAAAAAAATTGCCTCATTACCTCTGAGATAAAATTCAAAATGAAACAATTAGCTTATTATAAACAAATTATTGTAAATAAGATCAAACAAGCAAAGTATTTTTCTATCTTACTTGATTGTACCCATGATGCTAACCATCAAGAGCAAATATCAGTTTGTATGAGTTATCTTAATTTAGAAAATATAGAAGTGAGTATTGAAGAAAGGTTTTTAGTATTTTTGTACTGCAACAGATATGATTGCTGAAGGACTAACAGCATTCTTTTCAAAGGCTTTGTTGGAAAATGGGTTAGATATTAGTAGTTTACGTCGCCAAGGATACGACAATGGTTTAAACATGAGAGGTAAACATAGTGATGTGTACAAAAGAATTTTGGATATCAACCTAGAGCATTTTTTGTGCTGTTGTAATCACAGTTTGAATCTTGTCATAAACGACGCTGTGAACAACAATTTATTCGATGCAAAATATTTTTGATTGTTCAAGTGCTTTACAATTTTTTTCTGGCTTCAATAATCTTCTTGTTTCTTTTAAAAAGGCATGTTAAAAATTTGACACTAAAACCTATGTTAGATACGAGGTGGTCGATCCATATAAATGCAATGACCCATTAGAATTTCAGTTAGGCTTTTGATGCCCTGTATGAAACAACCGAAAAAAATTATAACGCTACAAATATCAGGTCACATCTTGAGGGGAAAAAATAAAAAAATTTAACCATATATGTATGGTAGTTTTATGGTATAAAATAATGAACAAAGTAAATGTTGTTAGCAATATTCTCCAAGTTTAAAATTTTAGTATTTCTCAGTCTTCTGAAAGTTTAAGTAAATTAAACTTGATTGTACCCCTGATGCCAGCTATCAGAGTAGATATTAGTTTATATGAGATTCAAAAAGGCTCAGATCTATCAGATCTATAATCAAGTGAGGCATCTGTTAAAGGCTTCAATAATATGCACACTGAAAGTAAAGAACTGACATCTTCTTTAAATGTTGATATAAATTTTAAAAGCCAAGAAACACTAAGACCTCTAAAAATTTTTTTTAAAAAAATTTCTCTTACGATGGCCAAGACCGGCCAATACAGAATAAAGCACACTTCAACTGTTTGACTGCTACGCGGTGCAAAAGCGCTGTGTTCATTTGTCTCGAAAACCACGACGCAGTTAGTTATTGTAGAATGCACTCATGTTACAAAGTACGCATGAGGTGGTTAGACTACGTATGTTCACACCCACGGAGCAACAAAGACACACTGAAACTCACAGCATATTTGCGCTGCGATGCGGTTTTCGAGACAAATGAATGCAGCGCTTTTGCGCTGCATAGCAGTCAAATGGTTAAAATAATTTTTGATTTGAGATGTTGCGATATCATCTTTAAGTGAAAGGTTTGGTATCTTTTTTTCTCATTCAGAAGTTTTTAAATTTTTGCGGAATATTTCTTATAATAATTTTCTTATAATAACTTTCTTTCTTTTAATTTCTTATAATATTTCTTATAAAAATTCCATTTTAATAATCTGAACAAGATCAGCTCAATTTATGTCAAAAACTGCAAAAAGCATCAATTGATAAAAATCAAAGTGATATAAATAGTGTAGATCTTATCCTTTGGAGAAAATGTAGCATCGCCGGTTGAAACTCTAAGCTATATAGTTGTCAACAATTTAACTCCCTCATTTCATAACAATTTATATTACTTTACATATTTTATTAAGAATTCCAGTCTTAATAACTACAACAGAGAGGCCTCAAATTGCCAAATCTTGCAATTATTTTCATTGAAAGTGATATTTTATAAAAATTAGATATAGATTTACTTATAAATCAATTTTTGAAAAACAAAGCCCCGAAATTGACACTATCTACCAAATATTGAAATTATTTTGTTTCAGCTCATTTGTTTATTCTATGCATGTTAGTGTTATATGCTTTGTTAGTGTATGATCGAACACAATTTATGTGAAACTAGATTTAAGGATTAGGCCACTTGGGATGCTTGAAAGGTAGATTCAATTTTTGAGTTTGTTGGATGGGTTGCTTTCAAAATAAGCACAGATCAATTTTATTGAACTTGTTAGAAACAATATTTTTCTTTTTGAAAATCAAAAAAATATTTAAAAAATGGCGTCCTTGAGGTGGGACCCTCATTTTCTGCAGAGCCAAATGATGTACATTTTTGTGGTCCTAATTTTTATCTTGAGACATAAATTTGAAAAAATCTTAAGATACATTTAAAAAACTGTGGGAGTATCAAAGGATTTAAATATATCATTGTTGTTGATCAAGTAGTCAATATTTAAAAAATAAAGAATATTTACTATAAAAATTCCATTTTTTAAACGTGGACTGCTAAGAAAATAAGTGTTATTTAAAAAATCGTGGGTACTTACTGCTTCCAGAGGTAATGTGTCTGAGAATACTCATACGAAGTTTGAAGTGAAACATATTAGAATTAAATGATATACAATGTATGTCAGCATGTGAAACGTTTCTAGAAAGCATGTTTTAAGTTTTTCAAGACTTTAAATCTAAAATGCATTACAAAAACTGTACTTTTTGCCCTTTCTCAGCCATACAGTTGCTATGTTTACACTTGAAATTCAATGAATAATTCAATAAATGAAAGTAAAAAATTTTGATATCAATACAATTTGCAAGTAATAACCAATCAATATCATTTAAATTTTATTCTCCAAAGAAACATTATCCAGAAGGCTGGTAGTTTTAGTTAGCTTTATGAAATTTTTAAAAATTCCTATGTGACCTAACCCTTAATGTGTTAATAAATTTATTGTTAATAAATAATTGAAATTTAATGTTTTATTTGTCTACACTTCTATATATCTCTCTTAGCGTTATATTTCCCAATACTTAACTCTTTAGATATGTAATTATTTATTTTTATTTAAAATAATAAATAGTGTTAAGGAGTATATTTGGTAGTCAATGCATTAAGCATATAATTTCGCTTTGCTTGCAATGTTATTTTTTACAATTAAATAAATATATGTATAATTCTTCAATAAATATGTTCGAGTTAGGTTTTAACAAAACACAAAATGTTTGCACATTTAGAAAAATTAAAAAATAAAATGTATTTTTTTTTTGGTTTTTCATATTATTATGTTAATAATACTTCATTTTAAGTGTTAATGAAACAATTTCCATCTGATATCATCATCACTACATAAAGGCACTCACCATGTATTTGCACGACGGCACTGATTAGACTTGGCTTGGGCCTGCAAGTGCCCTCCATAAAAGAAAAGCAATAGAGTGCTAAATTCTGCTGTTGTTCATATAAATTTATGTTTAATAAACTTTATTGATAATGTTTCTTTGGAGAGTAAAATTTAAATGATATTGATTGTTTATTACTTGCAAATTGTATTGATATCAAAATTTTTTACTTTCATTTATTGAATTATTCATTGAATTTCAAGTGTAAACATAGCTATTAGTAATGCAGTGTTTTTGAGAGTACTTACATTTTACTTAATTCTGTAGAAAAAGTTATTTATTTATTTCTATTATGATAGAAATAAATAGTATCTCTTAGGAATAAAAGAAATATTTTAGGATTGCTACTATCTTGATGTTTTTCAGTATTTTCCCAGTTTCTAAATTAGTATAGACTGCTTCTGTTTTGTATGCCTTCATAACATTTAATTTTTTATTCTTTTAGATATGCCAGAATGGTTAAGTTGTTACTCACGATCATGTGATATTTGGTCAGGAGTGTGTCTTCTTCGAGAAAAGTCATTACTACTCAGGGAAAATTTGGTTTCTGGAAAGGCCAGCTTATTAGATTTAAGAAACTATTTATTTTCCAGACAGTGTGCATTATTACTATTATTATGTCGACCTTGGGAAGTTGCTCAAAGGACTCTGCCTTTCCTTCATAACTGTATCAGTGAATTAAGGATACTGGAAGTATGTAACATAATATAATAAAATATTGCAGAAAATAATGCTGCATCATGATTATTTATGATTAATATTTATAAATATGTTGATTAAAATTCAAATGAAACATTACTTGATAGATATACAGAACAAATCTGAAACTTTTATAACTTTGTTTGAATTGTGATATCTTTTGATTGTTTATTCTATGTAAATTAGTTGCCTTCCCTTGTGATATATAACATTTTTGTGTGGAATATTGCAGATTATGAGAATTGTGAGACAAAGTATATTGAAATTAGCTCCAGAAATCATGGTCACTTAAGATGATTTTGTAAGATGCAAAAACCAAAGAAAACTACCATTCATATTCTTTTCACAGCTCTATAGTTATTATTCTTATAGTAATGATTATATTTCACATTGTTTTTTTACATGCAAAATAATTTGCTAGAAATGTTTAGTAGTAAATTATTTTTCATTAAGTTAGGTTACCAAATTTCTGAAAACGAAAGTTTATGATAAGAATGAAGTATAATGTGATGAAATGATTAATTTGCACCTTTGTCATTTTTTCTATCTAGTCATAGAAATCATATTTAAAGTATTTTTGTAGTAAAATTTTCTGGTGCTTCTCTTTTTTACAGTGGCCTTAACAAGAAAGAAGAATTAGCATATTTGAGATAATTAAATTGTTAAAACTTGGTGAGAAATAAACTGTTACTGATTTGTGCATGGGCTCACAGTTTATGTCTGTTCAGCTAGTGAAAATGTTCTCTAATAAAATATAGCAATTTTTTATTGTTATTTAATATGCACATTTCTGCCTTATGAGAAACTGGCTACCAACTTGCATGTGTGCACGTGATTATGTGCCTTCAGCTGGTAAAAATTTTGTTTTAAATATGATAAGTTTTGATAACAACAATATATAACAACAATAAGTTTAAATATGTTAACAACAACAAGTTTTTGTTGCTAAATATTTAATATGCTTAGTGTTTTTAATATGCAATTTACGGCAAGTAATACTATAGCCAGAAAACAGATCAGGAATAGCAAAGCAAAATACATGAAATTATGCCTAGCCATCATTTAGAGTTGTTCATAGTGCACTTCATGTTCAGGCATCACATCAACTGTGATAATGTGTTTGATGCTTTATTAGCAGCAGTTGCTGAACTGTGGCCACCAGAAAATATCTGTTAAAAATGAAATTTTGGTTATGTTTATGTATGTTTATTTTAAATAAATTGCTTTCAAAATTGTATTAAATAAAATAATAAATAGAAATTTATATTAAATTGCTTCTTCATGTATAGATTAAATAAATTGTGTTATGTAGAAATTGATTGAGTTGCCAGTTTGCATTGGCTATCATTTAATCACTTTTCTTTTGACTGACGAAATAGTTTTTTTTTTTTTTTTTTTTTCTATAACTAAGCTATTATTAAAAGGAATGCCATTTCCTCTCACCAAGACCACTATAAAAAGAAAGTACCATCTTGCCCACTTGGTATTTATACAATAAAACATGGTGAACAATCTGTACTACTGACCAAATAGACGACAATTAGGCAAATATTCGAAAGGGCAAAAGAATATGATATAGATACATACCACCTTTAAGACTGCTTATGATAACATTAGTAGGGGAAAATTGTTTCAGGCAATGCTGTGGTTGGGAATAATAGAAAAATTGTGTAACGTGATAAAGATAACCCTTAGGAGAGTAAAATGTAAAGAAAACTGTAAATGAAATCTCTAAATGAATTATCAGATTTCTTTTACTCTGTAAAAGGACTAAAGCAGTGAGTTTCTTTTTCCTGCCAGCTGTATAATATCACCAGTGAAAAAACAATAATAGACTAGGGCGTACAGACACAAAAGACTATATTTATGAAATATGTGCAGTTATCGTCCTTTGCTGATGATATTGACATTGTGCGAAGAATGAAGGCAGCAATAGTTTAGGGTTTTTGTGTGCTTGAGTCAGCAGCAAAAAATATTGGTTTGACCTTCAATGAAAAAAAAAAAAAAAAAAAAAAAAAAAAAACTAAGTTCATGACAGTTACAAACTGAAGACATAGCCTGATACCACTGAAAATAAATGACTATGTTTTTGAGGTGGTCATACAATTTAAATATTTGGATACTGTTGTAAATAATTGTAATAATTATATATCTGTATAAATCGAGAATGAAATTAACAAGGCTAATAGATGCTGTTATGGATTATGGAACCAATTTAAATTAAAATATTTAAGCAGTAAAGCTAAAATACAGTTATATGTGGCCTTAGTAAGATCTATAATATTGTATGGAAGTGAGTGCTGGGCAATGAATAAAGCAGAAGATAGAGTAATGGCATTTAAACGAAAGATTTTGAGAATTTTTGGAGCAGTAGGGGAAAATAGAATGTGGAGAATAAGATATAATTTTGAACTATAGCAAAAATTTAGAGAACCAAACATAAAAGTTATTATAGACTCTCAACTATGATGGCTAGGCCAAGTATACAGATATGGAGATGAAAACCCAGTGAAGAAATTGACATTCCAAAAACCAGAAGGAAAGAGGAGAGGAAGACCATGAACGAGGTGGCTTAGTGGTTAACCCTTTGACATGCGCGATATTATTTTTATAATTTTTTTAACTAAAAACTCTAGAAATTGAATATTATGATCCTAGAAACAAATAATATATGAATTTAAAAAAATCTACTCTTGCCCATTGTTTTGTGGGTGGTGGTCGCACTGTGCGTCTAGGATTTTGAAACTTACCTAAGCAGTAGGGGGAAAAAACTTACCTTCTTCCACGCACGTTTCCAATAAATGATGAAATTTACAAATTAAAAAAAAAATGCATGTCAGAATTGCATAATATATATATTTTTTACATTATTTTACAAACTAAATCATCAGAAAAAATTAAAAAAATAAACATTTATGTAATTTTCTATAGTAGTGAAAGTATAAGTACCTACATAATAAGGACAATTGGCTACATGGATTAAAAAACTCAGTAAAATAAGGATAAAAAAAAGACTCTGTGTTTTTTTTTTTTTTTTTTAATTTTCAAAGAACAAATATTTTTTGTGACACTGTTCAAAGCATGTTTTGTCTTTTTGGTACATGCATAGACCCATATTGCACGTTTCGCACATGTATCTTCTTCTATGATGTTTCTTCCTTGTGCTACAAAATGTACACTGATTGGATCTAAATTTCATGGTATATGTCCAGCATTATTTAGTTTCTTTTCATCTGGCACATGAAATTTGTGGGTTTTTTTTTATGTTAATGGGTGGGGGGAGGCTTGGTCTTTTTGGCTTTGGAACGGATCATTCATTTCCCATTCATACTTATTTCATTTGTATTTCGCCTCAAAATATTCAGAAAATATTTTAAATTTAAATAAAACTTTATGCAATTTCTATTTTTAATTACAGCAAAGTATATTTACATTAAATTTAAACCACAGGAAATAATTTATAAAATCACAATACTAGCTTGGGGAGGAAGTGTGTTGAGGTCAAAGAAAAGTCTCTGGAAAAGAAAGACCTTTTCACGGGGCAGGTGCATGTATTGTTTAGTAATAAAAGAACTTTGTGATTTCAAAACCCCTTATCTATATCAGCGTAAAAATAAACATTCCTATTTGAGAAGCAAGCAAACGCCATTGTGAAGAGCAGTGGTTTCAAGGCGCGACCACCGAGCCTCCTAATGGGGCAGTGGTCGTGCCCTGAAACCACAAAGCAAATGCCATGCATATAGTGGTGTTTTTTTATATATGCAGTTTAATTATTGTTATTTTTTATTGTTTATGATAGAAATCATCATGTGCGATGAATAACTTTTGAAATTTAATTTTGTTTATATTAATAAAAGAAAGTTATTTTATCTCATTGAAAACGAATTTTAAAAGGCATCTGATTTGAAGTACTAAGACCTAAAACATGTTTGATTTTGTAGTCATTTTGTGTTATTTAGAGGTAAAAGATCAGTAATCAATTGATTTTCATTCAAAAATTTTGGTAGGAAGAGGAGAAAAAAATTCGAAAATTGGTGGTTTCAAGGCGCGACCACCGCACGTCAAAGGGTTAAATAACATTGGTGTCAATAGGTGGAGGATTGTGGTGTTAGATGGGTCAAGATGACAGAAGTTGACTGAGACAGCCTTGGCCACAAATTGGCTTCAGAGTTTAAGAAGAATAAGATGAAAGTTGTAATATTAGAAAAATATTTTATTGGTTACTGATGAATATTAGTTACATTGCCTAAAAAACATTTTATTTAATAATTGGAGACTGAATTTGAAGTATTGGAATAGGCAGTGTATGAAAAGATTTATGTAATAAATGTATATGTTGTTTCTATGCACACAGTGTTCATAATACATGTTTCTTTTGTTATTTCGAGCATAAGTTGTAAGGGTCGTATGTTAATTAACTAGCTATTCTGATCTTTAACTAACGTCTTTCCTGTTCCTCATCAGTATGCAGATTAGCTTTAAGTGTAAAGCTAGGTTTAAGAGGTTTAAAGAGAGAGAGACAGTTTCTTACACTCATGTCCTGCTGTTCAATTTCGACAGCTCTGTCTAAATATGGCTTTGTATTCATAATATATATTGCAAATATGGCACAGCTGATTACTTTAAACTTATGAACCGGTTAGTTGCATAAGTTAGTTGAGCCTATATATAGCTTACTTTATTGGGTGTTAGCGGTACTTTTTTATCAACATTAATTTACATTGTACGTTAAAGTATTGATTTATTTATCAGCATGTTAAGGGCTTAACTTAAAAGTTTTAAACCTTGTAGTACTTTTGCCATAAAGTTAATTTTATTAATTGCTCATTACAAGTTGTGTTCTGTTAAAAGTTCACAAAGTCTTGCCATATTAATTTAAATACAGCAATAACTCATTACTTGTCTAGTAAGGTTGTAGGATTCAAGTATCAGCTCAGTTAAAACCTTACAAAGTGATTAAATTTTGAAAACATATAAAGCAGGAGCTTGTTACATTAAAGATTTTGATTTTTTAAGAAAAGATAGTTGTGTAGTTCTTCCCCCCCAAAAGGAGAGTGTTTTGATTACAAATGCATATCTGTGATAGTACAGTAGAAAATAGGTAATGTTCGTGGTAGTCTAGTTTATGTTTCATTTCAGAAGCAGAGGAGTTCTCAATATCACAGGAAGTAGAGAATGATGAGTGTAGAAATAGAGTAAAAAGGTCAAAGTTGAATCTATGGATCAATTTACATGTGTTTCTGTTGCACAATTTTCTTACATTATTATAGAGATGTTTTTATACTTTTCTCAGTTCACAAAACATCTAATTTTTAATAATTAAGTATATAAAATTAAATAAGGTTAAATTTATTTTTTCATATCAATAATTTTATTTATATTATTTTAAGTACTTTATTTTGTACTGACATTATCAATGTTAGTTCATTTAAGAGTCTCCTTTTCATTCTTCGTAACTAACACTGTATGTATATATATTAGTTCTATGTGTTCTAGCCCTTTGTGAAGAATCATCTGCATCATAACAATTTCTTTTATAATCATCTTTCAGAGAACTTAGTTATCAGAAGCCAAATTTCTTATTCAGCTGGAAAAATTGTTTGCTATTTTGAAAGGAATTTCAACACAACAATGTAAAATTGTCTTCATAAATAATTCAGTATAAGGTAAAAACTAGTATTTAACTGTAGAATAAGAAATACATAATTTAGTCAAAAGCAAATAAATTATAGCAACAAAAAAATTTGAATTTGAAGTAAGGGAATGGAAGCATCAGAAAGAATCAGTAGAAATGCAAAATCTGTTAAGTTACTAACAATAATTATTTATGTTTTATTTTAGTGTAATGATTATGTTTGTGAAAGGGAAATTATGATAAATAATTAATCAGCTGAGAATTATAATAGGTATTCTTCCTTAGATATTAATTTGAGAAAAATTTAATTCAGTGAATTGATCTAAATTTAACATCACACTATCTCTTTTGTTTGCTGTAGAAAGAAATAGCTTTTACTGTACTTAATTTTAAAGCATTTATTAAAGCTAAAAGGGCTACATTGTGTTGTGTATAGATCAGTTTAAAAGTTTTGAGAATCATATATATGAAACATATGTTATATAAAATAACTTTCAATTCAAGCAGAGGAAGCATTCAATAGTGTGATGTATAAAGAAAAACCTCATTATTAGCTGCAGTTTGGGGTAAAGACATTTTTATCTTTGTCTAGTTGCTACTTAACATTCTGGAATTCAGCTCTGAGTATTTTTGTGTCATGAATTTTTTGACCTTAAAGTTAGACTAAGCAACCAGCAAATATCTAAAGCAACTCTATGGTGTTTTTATGAAATTTTCTTCCAAAGACAAAATTTAAGATAAAGACTAATGTGGCTGATTGTTCATTATTTAAATTGATCAAAATATTATGCCTGTGGAATACTTGTTAAAAGAAGACAGTGCTAGAATTTAAGATATTCTAAATATTGATACAAATAAAAATATTCTTCATCGAAAAACTTGATATCAAGAGACTTGACAGTCATTGGATTCCTCTTTACCTTATAGTCCAAAAACAAATAAGCTCAAATAGACTGGTGCATGCAATTCTTGAAAGATTTATTACAGAATGCTAAAAAGAGATTTTAAATTAACGCGGGGATTTTCAGCAATATAACAGATTATTAAGCTAGGTTCTGTCATTATGATTTACAAACCATTCACTGGCAGTCACATGGGTTTTTCCTTCTATCAAGACAGGATGAAAAGTTGAGAAGAAAATAATATGGTCTTTCTTCTCTTTGAGTGTACATTTTAAAGCTATGATGCAAGAAAATCAAAGAATAATGACTGTTAAATGATGTATCACAAAATGCTTGCATAATATTCTAAAAAGGAATCAAAATTAGTTGACTGAAAGTTGATTTGAATCATGTAATATAATAGCTTTGCTCAAAAAGAACCAAATATTTAAGTTTTTTTGTTATTCAGGAGCTCAAATTCTTGGCCATTCTTCTTAACATTTTGTGCGGAGGATGAATAGCTGCATGGAACTTCTTATTTCTCAAAGCCACTAAGGCAGAGATTTTGACTTAACTAAAAGGGTTATACTCACATAATAAGGCATTTATGGACAATATCCATAAGCAAGAATGGGAACAGTGTATGTTAGAGCAGTTGAAAAAATAAGAAACTTTTTAGTATAAAGAAGAATATTTTAAGAAAATATAATAGGATTTACTTTAATACAAAATCTCAAGGCTTTTTGAATGACTTACATCACATATCTAGGAAGGTACCGATTACTATCATTTGCTGATTTTTACATAATGAATTAATAAATTTGTAGAATTTTTTATTTTTATTCAGTATAGCCTGATGAGTATGTACATTTAAAATTTGCTTAAAAACAGAGCATGATTTAATTCCAGTAGATTTATAATTTATGTTTTATTTAGGTATCTATGCCACCTGGTTCTGTAGCTTGTTGGGTGTTTCTCAGTTGTTTTGAAGTTTTACAGACTTGTGAAAAATTCAATGATACTTCTCAAATAAAGGAATATTCTTTGTATTGTGCTGGGTTATGGGCATATGCTAGAGAAAAGGTAAAACATATTTATGCTTAGATACCTGTTTATCAAATATATATATATGTATAAATATGTTCTGCTAGAACTGCAGCAATCCTTAGCTGTAATCATAAATATTATTTTATATTTTTTTACTTGATTTTGTTGTCATCTCTCACAGTGATTTATTTGTTTATATAAATCATAGCTGCCAACTCTCCCAGTTTTACATGGAGATTCCCAAATGTCTTGGTTTTTGAATTTTTAACTTCTCTTAAGGAAAATATTTTCCATCAATAAATAAAATTTGTTGAATAGATGAAACTAAAATTGTACAAATTTTGTTCTTCCATCCCTATAGGTTTTCAGAATAATTTTTCTTGTTAAATTTTATATCATCTGAACCATATTTTTTTGTATTACATTTTATTGATCGTTTTCCTGTTAAATGTCATTTTATCTGAGTTGTATAAATCTACTGCAGACATTTATAGATTTTTATATGAAGATTCAACGGATGCTTAATCAGCTAATACTTGCATTTGTTTTATTTCATTATATGACACATTACCAAGTTTATTCAGGTGAATATTATGTATACTAATTATTAATTTTATTTTCATCATATTTAAAAATATTTTTATAAATAAAAAAAGCTTTTTTATGCAGGGTTTTCTCAGTATAAAAGTGTAAAATTACAAAATAAAATTAGCAAAAGCGCATAAAGTTTAGAATATCTAATTAATTACTAATATATTTTACATCAGAATTGTATTACATATAGTTTAATTACCTGAATTATACATAGTAAAGTGAATTTAAGTCTCTATTTCTCACAGTTTTCTAGCAAAAATCTCCAGATTTTTCAGAATTCAAGGTTGGTAGCTATGACATTGAAATTAATATTTGTCATTTTATTAAAACAACTGCACAGCACTCATTTTCTCCATCTTATTTGAGATTTTAGCTCTTCATAATGTGCTTTTCACAAAGCTAAACACATTAAGCGAAGTGAAGGGGGGAGCAATTAGATTATTTGATCGTTTGCCACAACTGTTTTTATCATTTTTATAAAACAAAGTGGCAAGGAGGAAAAGACTCTGGAATGTCTTTTCTAAAGTAACGGATTATAGTTCAGAACCTAACTTTTGCAAACTGTTCAGGGATGTCTTACATACTTGGCCACTGGCAATAAAAAAAAAGGGGGAGTTGATGTCTTTCTTAGTGAATGAGATAAATTCCAAATTTAGTTTAGTTATTAGTTGTAAGTGTCATTCATTGTTTGACAAGATGACAACTTGTTGCATTTCAAGGAATCAATGGAAATCCTTATACTGAGAGTAAAACTACTTTATAAAAAGTGATGTCAAATAAAAGTCAACTTTTGTAAAACTGAAAGTATAAATTTTATGAAACTTGAAGTACTAAAGTTCATCAAAAGACATCTGTGATAGTCTTGCCCTGTCAGTTTATGTTCAAATCAAATGATAGGATCTGGCTTCTGATGCACCTGTAATTTGTGGATGTGTTAAGTTCATGGTTCGGAATTCTGGTTAAAGCAGATATCTTCACAAACTTTTCAACATAATTTTACTTTATGTATTTACATTATGATGGTCACCATCACAATTAGTGCTCAAGCATGACTGATTAAAATGATTAACTGTCAGCACTCTTTTACTTTTCCCTTCAGAACTCATATTTTTCAATGCGTGTTTTTAATTAGAACTATCCATCTTGAGCTTGTTGATTGTTTTCAGTTGTGAAGTCTTGTATCTGTGGTATAGATTTATGTGTATAACTCAAAATCTAGTACATTTATGCATTTTTAAATTTTCATTAAAGTTTCATATTTTGAGCAGTTCTTAAGACAGCATTAGCTTTAAATCATTGATAGAAATTAAAGTATTTAATTTGAAAATCCAAAATTTTTATAATATGAGGTTAAATAACCAGTCTAAGTTTCTGGGCCAAAGGCTTTGAAAAACTACCAAAACATTGGCAGAAAATCATAGATTTGGATGGTGATTACTACCTGCACTAAGGGTACTGCTTTTATGTTTTTTTTTTCGAACATTATTAACTTTATTTATTTTTTAATGGAAGACTTCCGTTACAACCAGATAGTTTAGTAACCTGAATTTTGCATTATCAAGTTTAAAATTCCTTTGAAATGTCATCATACACAGTGAGCAAACCTCCTGGTCTCTCCTGGTTTTCACTCAAAATATCCTGGTTTCGCAGATTTCAGGGTTGGCAGCAGCTATGGTAAATTAATAAAAGCAGAAATGTTTATTTCCATTTAGTACGAGGGCTATCCAGAAAGTAGATTACGTTTTGGAATAAAAAAATAAACAAAGTATAGGAAACAAATTTTATTATATACAGATGAAAGCCACACTCAAATACTACTTTTCTACATAGTCACCATACAAATTAAGGCATTTATCGTAGCGATGTACGAGCTTGGAAATTCCTTCGTCGAAAAATTCGGCCGCCTGCGCCTTCAACCACTTCGTTACCTCTTCTTGCAGCTGTGCGTCGTCATCAAAACGCTGCATAGCCAGCCACTTCTTCATTGCTGGGAATAGGTGGAAGTCGCTCGGTGCCAGGTCGGGACTGTACGGCGGATGAGGAAACAACTCCCACTTAAAAGATTCAAGAACTTTACGAGTGACATTTGCCGTGTGGGGCCGGGCGTTGTCGTGAATCAACAAGATCTTAGAGCTCAACATTCCTCTGCGCTTGTTTTGAATTGCTCTTCTGAGTTTTTGGAGAGTTTGGCAATACCTTTGAGAGTTTATTGTAGTGCCTCTTTCCAGGAAGTCCACCAAAATTACACCTTTTCTGTCCCAAAAAACAGTCACCATCATCTTCCTTGCCGACATTGTTTGCGTGCATTTCTTGGGTTTTTGGGGAGAACTTGTGTGCCCCCACTGCATTGATTGCAATTTCGTTTCACAGTTCACATGTTTCACCCATGTTTCGTCACCAGTAATGATGCGATCGAGTAAAGAGTCACCATCCTTATGGTAAGCGTCCAAAAAGTTCAACGCTGCAGCCATTCGCTGATTTTTGTGGTCCTCTGTCAAGATTTTTGGAATCCATCTTGCACAAAACTTGTGGTAACCAAGCTTTTCGCTGATGATTTCATGCAACAAACTTCGCGAAATTTGTGGAAAAACTCAAAGAAAGTTCCGTTATTGTGAAATTTCGATTTTCACGGACTTTAGCATCGACTTTTTCGAGAAGTTCGGCGGTCACTATGCTGGGGGTCTCCCACTTCGATCTTCGTCGTGAACATTGGTTCGGCCATTTTGAAATCTTATGACCCACTGACGCACTCCACCTTCAGTGATAATGTTGTCCCCATACACTTCACGAAGCTGCCGATAGATTTCTATCGGTTTACAGTTTTTTGCAGTCAGAAACCTTATTACTGAGCGCACCTCGCAGCTCGCGGGATTTTCAATTAACGCAGACATTTCAAACCGTCACAGTATCTGAACGGAGCACAGCATGAACCTCTCACTAGCACGGCTAGATGCAGACTGAGCTGCGCAACGCTCTGACCCCAAGATGGCCGCGCTAGCCCCGCCCCTAGCGGACACAGACGGAAACGTAATCTACTTCCTGGATGGCCCTCGTATGTTACCTAAAATGTGTAGTGTTTTCTTAACTTAGTAGAATGTGCATAGTCCTTGTGAGCATATTCACTATATATTTAAGTCCCGTGTAGGAACAAAATCAGTCTAATTTTAATATAACAAATTTAGTAAAGTTAGATTCTCATTACACTGTGATGGTACTTTGCTGTGGATGCCTTCACAAAATTTAAAATATCAATTTCTGTAAATGCAAATTATCTGAATTTATTCAATAAAGCAAAAATAAATCATATGCTTCATTTCATCTCTACAGAATATTCAAAAGTTTTCATTAGTTAAAGAACTCAACAGAAAGGCTGTGAAAAAAAGAATATTTTAATGAAATTATTAACAGTAAAAATATTTATTTTTAATCATTATATTATGCATATTTTCTCTATGCTAACTGAAAAGTTTTATTACTGATTCTGTTATTCAAAATCTGATGACTCTATAAGGTCAGTATTTCCCCTGTCATCCAAATTTGAGTCTTTCACAATGAGCTACTCATTTTACAGGTTTTGTAAATAATTCAGAAACATTAAATATATTGTTTTATGACATTCTCTTTAACATTACGAGTATGATATTTTTTACTTCCTCATTTGAGAAGAATCTTTTCCTATGTAATTGCTTTTCCAGTGTTGAGAATGCACAGAAATCACATATCACTAAGTCTAGATTATATGCAAGATAGTATAGTAGTATTTATAGATTGATTTCAGATGAAACATTTAGTGCTACCAATGCTACAGCAGAAATGTTCAGCTTAGCATTATCTTGGAGCAAAACTACTGTTTCTTGAGCAAACTCGGTCTTTTCTTCCTTTGTGCAAATAGTTTTCGAAACACTTCCATAATAATTATTGTTTGTTGTCTGCCCATAGAGGTGTGCGATGGTGACAGTCATAATGAGAGAAAAGTCCTTGTCTTTTTAATCTCTCACGACATGTTTTGTCAATAAATTATGTGTTACCATTTCAAGTGTCTCCTTCACTGAAATACTGAAGCACAAGCTAAATGTTTCATCATCACATGCATAATGTAGTACTTCAGGTGTTTGTTGTTCTCTCTGAGTTTAATACAAAATCCAGTCATATCTCTTGTAGAGTCTTCATTCACCTATACAAGACACCTACTGTGGCAAATACTACTAGTTTCCACTCACTGTGGAAAATACTAAAGGCTGTTTAAATGTAAATTCAAACACACTTATATATAATCTTTACAAAACACAGTACTTAATTGCTGTGTCTAATATGAGGAAAGATATATAGAGACAATCTCAAAACTTTTCAGTTAACCCTTGTACAGTCAGTTTTCTTATATGAAAAGTGAATAATATTTGCAAATGTATTTAATCAGAATTTTTAGAGGCATTACATTTAAGCATGTATGTTTAAAAACATGTCAAAATTTTACACTTTATTACTCTAATTTGTGTGTCAGACAGTGCAAAAAAGCTGTTCTAAAAAGGTAATTATAGGGTTGCTTAGAAAGGGAAATTTACCAGGTTTTAATCTTCTGCTGGTAGTTTAAAATCATTTCAATCCTTATATTAATAATTATATTTTGCTTCTAAATATTTAGTACCCCTTTAAAATTCTTATATTGATTTAAAAGAATGAAGTATTAATGGATAGCATTTTAAAATTTTTATCAGTATTTAGACCTCAAATATTTTAGTGATCAATGGACAGTTTAATAATATTTCAGAGTTCATTTATGCCATCTTTTTCTGAAACAAAACGTGGATCTTTTACATCATAGGAAGCCAGTTTCTGTCACTTTGGCCACTCTAAATGTATGGTGAGTTGAAAATCCTTGCATGTAGTTTCTTAGTAGGGGAAGAGAATGGAAGATTCTCGAACCAATTACTTAGGATGCTCTCTCTTAAAACTGGGGTGGAACTGAGCAGAAGACATCCTGTCATCTGTACGATTACCAAGGCTCATGCCAAATGACAGGCCCAAAAATTACAGTGAAGCTGATTTTTTCATGATAATATTCATGGGTTTATTCAGCATATGTCAGACAAATAAAATATGACAACAATAAAGATGAAAGACAAGTTGCTTTGAAAGATATCATTGTATGGTAGCTATTTAATAAGGGGGAGATATTTAATTTTAATCATAAAAGCCAATTGAAATGAAAAAAATATAATTTTCTGTTACTAAAAAAAAACTACATTTTAATGTCAGATAATTGGTATATTTATAATTTTTCTTTAAAGATATTAATTTTTGCCTGTAAATTATAGCTTCATCAATTAGGAATTCTTTGTGGATTAATGCCAGATCTTGATGCTAATTCTGAAAAGCTGCATATAGTAGTAGGACTTTTAGCTGGAATGAGTGAAGATCCCTATAGCGGTATAATTTAATTTATTAATCATCAATCTTTCATTTTTACTATCTGTGTTCATTTTTACATATGTTGAAATAGTTCATATTAATGCTTTTTAACTTTGCTCAACACAATGAGACGTAGTTTGTTTTTTATGTATTTTGCTGTGATCATAAAAGTTGATAGAAATTTTGCCAAACGTGCTGTAGCCCTGCCAGTGGAAGTGTGAAAGAAGAGATCTTTCTTTCTTTAGTTAGATGCTCTTAGATTGCCATTAGTGGAATTAGATAATCAACTGATACAAGCTACAAATATAGCACATTAAAAAAATATGATTTCAAGTTTTGATATCTGTCAACTAAATTCTTTAAAACTAGTGCCAAGCATTCTGGCAATTAGGGATACTTAATGCAGTTTAAAATACCTGCAAAATTGTCACTTTCTTTGTGAACGTATTGCCATATAACATAATATATTTGCAAATTTAAGTGGTGGTAGGTTGTTCTGTGATGTCTTTTATTATCATTTTACCAACCTCCCCAGTCTTTCAATGTTTTGAATATACATGCTAGGGTAACCAGTATTGTAATTATAAAAATATTTTACTGCTTGCTGTTCTGTAGAAGGCAGATCTAAAATTTTAATAATTTCTTCCCCTCCCCCCCAAATACAAGAGAAAAACAAAGAAATAACATTTATATTCTTCTTTACAAAAGTAACCTGATTGATCGAAAATCAGGGTTACATTAAACCAGAGTGAAGATCTTCATGAGTGTGTAGTGATATATCGCACTTATCTATTACTGGTGTGAAATTGCACTGTTTGTGGCATTTTCTGTTTATCAAAAATGGTCAATGGCAAAATATGGAAGTACTATTAGTTTTGCATACAGACTTCCTTAAGTATTTATTTATAATTTATTGTATTTCATCTATTTTTGCCAAAATAAGCTGAGATATATTTTGATAAACATTTCTTTACTGGCACATCTAAAAATTTTCAGTATTGTGAATAGTTTTCTTTTCAAATTTATGAGAAAAAAAAAAAAAAAAAAAAGTAAAAAAATTTAAGTTTTTCCAAACTTTAATTTTTATGAAAATGCTGAGAAACATCTGAAAAGGAACTAACTCAGATCATGGACAATAACTAATACGACATCTATTAAACTTGGGTGTGAGAAAATGAATGTAAAATAATTAATAATTTAGTTACTGGCAATATTAAATCTACAAACTGACAAAATCATTGTTACAGTTTTTTTTTTTCATTTTTATTACCATGCAGCATAGTATAATGTGTTGAGTAGGTGATAATTATGATTAATAAATATAAATTTAGTTTTATTTATAGTTATGTTTGTTTACTAGATAGGAACTCTCCCTATTTTGTTCGCATGCATGTGTGTGTGTTTGTAGATCTTCAATTAAATTTTAGCTAATGTTTTCCCAGTCATTAGAACTGAGAAATTGATAAGTTATTTATAAAATGGTAAAATCTCTCACTGTGACTACCTTTTGAATATGACCACCTCTGAATGCTAATAGAGTGTATGAATAATAAAAGTGGAGCAGTCCCAGTATAGACATGTTGTCTAAGGCAACCACCTTTAGCAAAGGCCAAAATCATTTGAAAACATGGACAGTCCTAAACTAAGTGGTGGGTTACATGGACATTAATCTGTGATGCTAGAATTAGCAGAGTATTAAGCAAGTTGTTTTCCTGGTAATAACACTTATATTAAAAGGCAACAGAAATGCCTTTAGTTCTGATCTTAAAGTATTGTTCAGCACTGACTGTGGTTTATCATAGGAAAGTTTCGCTTTATATTTAGAAATTTAAATTTTGAAACTGATATAGTCAAATGTGAATATCTGCATGTTTTGAAATGATAATCAAATGTGAATATCTGCATGATTCAGGTATTCACACTTGACTATCATTTTATATTTTTGACATTAATATGTACCAAAAGAAACAGGAAAATGCACCACTGCAGATTTCTTGATAAAATCTTGAATGGATATGAGCAGTTTGGATAACCCTATTCCATTGTAAGTTAATTCCAAATGTGATCAGTTTTATGAAAAGTAGTTCAGTTGCAGAAGGTAGAAGAGAATTCTTTAAACTCTTTCTGAATAGCATGACTGCTTATAACTAATAATTTGATTTTGTTCTGTTTTGTGTATTTTAATTCCAATCACTTGCTTTATTGCTTTTTTAACAATAAGAATCATTCTAATGATTTGACATTTATAATAGCTAACAAGATAAATACTGGTTGACTGGTTAACAATAATATAAATACTGGTTCCAAAGTTAAGTAGTTGACAGAAATTCAATATGACTGGAAAAATTATGCTTTGATTGAATCAGACTTTTATATAAAAGTAAGCTTTTATATTATTGATTATATATTCATGACTAAAAATTATAATAAGCAAAACATATTTAGATATATTCATAATAATATATACATACTCATTAAATTTTGTATGTTAGAATTTTTTTTCAAGCTATGCAAACAAATGAAACTTAATTTAATTAGTGAATGAGCACATTTATACTTCGTTCAGCTTCTACATTGATGTTCCATACATCCAGTTAGCTGGTTGTGTTCACTAGAGGGTAATAATTACTATTCTTGTAACAGAGCACTTTCTAAGGCCCATATCACACGACGTTTGTTTCACACGAACATCTGTTTCAGACAATTTTTCTGCCTGGTTTACTATTGAAAGAAAGACATGCTACTTTTTCTTTCTTTTTGAAAAAAATTGCTAGTTATTCGTTTTCAACTTATCAGCTTCGAAAGCTATCAGTTTGTTTGTAATGAGGAGCCAGTTGCCCTGTGTTAACCCCAAAGCGATCTATGGTGATTGGCTGTTGTGACAAAGCAGCAAAATTGTTCCAAACAGTTGTTTTTCTGAAACAAACCAGTATGTGATAGCAGCCTAACAGTTTAAAAGTAGTTGGAGAGGATGCATTGTTGAGACAGCACATCTGAGGGCATTGTGAAGATTTTCAGTGAGCCTGAGGTTGTGCAAGTATAATGGCCATGTAAAGCAATTTCATAAGCTTTTAAGTTCTTATCTGTCAAATTGCTCAATGTATATGTTCATTATCATCCATAACAGTAAATGCCAGGTCCTGCTACACTGTATAGTTTCACACTATGACAAGAATTTCATTCCAATACTTTTGAGCTATTACACTGTCTCCTGTGAATATATGCAGGTTGGTGAAATAGTTTGCATGATTACTTTGCTAGCACTAGAGACATGGTGCTCATTAATATTACTGGGATTGTTTCATGTTGCTTCTTCTTCTCCAGATCCTCACATATCAGGTTTAGGATGAATCTGACTAGTATGTTAGATCATTCAGTTTCTTTCAAATTTTTATGCTAACATCTCCACTTCAACCATGCTTCTTTGGGTTAAAAAGACATAATGGTTATGGTTTATGTGATTATGGCAAAGCCTTGAGGGCTATCTGCCTAAGGGGAGGGATGCCTTCGTGGGGACTTTCTAAGGGAAACTGGCTCATATGCACATTACACATGGGGGAAGCCACGAAAATGGCCATGCAGCCAGCCCGGTTGCGGGATTTGAACCTCAGACTGAACTACCAATGTTCAGCAACTTTACCTCTCGACTACTGGTGGACCACAAATAATGATACCCAAGCATATCTAGTTCTTTCATAGGTTGTCTTGGTCATGTAATAGTCAATGATACTAACTTTCCAGTTGTTATAGTATCCATTGCTCCCATAGTTAATGCAATCATAAATTGATTGTGTTTCTTCTAAAACTATATGTTTATCAGAGGGTGTAGTAATTTTTGGACAATTGAGGCACTCCTTTCGAAAGATTATAAAAGGTTTACAGCAATGAAAATAATAATATCTTTAATAAACTGCCCTACTTCAAGCTGGCCGAATGCATCCTAGCGGTGAGAATCGTCCAGTCATCTTCTTTCAGTCGTACCTGACATTACCTAAATAAAAGATAACTAGAATTCTCTTTCAAAAATTTTCAATCATCAATTAAAAGTCATCTGTTAAAAGTTTTAGAAGGACATATTTTAACAAACGCCTAATTTGTATATTTGTAAAAAGTGCATTCTAACTAGTCAAATTTTAAAATATTTGCATGTTTTCTTCTACAGCCACAGTGAATTTTGCTCAATAAACTTGAACCACTTATTCGACAGCTGAGAATTAGTATTGCATGCTTAACATTTGGAAAGCAATGCACAATCAAGGCTTTTTATAATGACCCCCTTGCATCCTATTTTTATGACCACCCTGTATAATATGTAAATAAAAATTATAATTTAAACTAATGGTAACCCTTTAATTCTCCCACTTTGTTCTAAAAATCATAATAGTTTCTCTGGATTGCATCATTTCTAGATCATTCCATCTTACATGGCCTGTGCAATGCTGATGACATAACTGAGAGAACTGAAACCTTTCTAACGTAAACCAAAACCAACCTTTCTCTTAACAGACTGCCATATTGGATAAATGCACATTTAGCTTGTAGCTCTGTTGCTGCTTGGTCTCTTTAATTTCATTTGCTTTGCTGTGCTGCTAACTATGCCGTTATTCAAAATGTGATACTCTATATAACATTGTGATGCACGTTTATGCTCATGATCATGTGTAATGAAAAATACAGTTTTGATAATTTGTTCATGTCCAGCAATAAAGATTATGTTCAGTTGATCTACCAGTCTCTCCTTCAAGTGTTATCTTTCTAATTATGTAGCAGTCTCTCCAAGTTATTATCACACTCACACATACATATATACACACACACAACACACATATATATACACACACACATACATACATTAAATGCGATTTCATATACCAATAATGAAAAATTTTCAATAATTCTTCCCCCTTTTTTTTTCTGAACTAAAAATCCCTAGCTATAATATTACTGCATTCATATAAATAAATGACAAGCTAATATTAAACAATTGTATTATAATTTGCAATTGAATTAAATGTATATTGCATGCAAATTTCATTATATTCTGAGCACTACAGCATCTTAAAAGAAAAATCATTCAGAATGAAGCATAAATATACTAAGATAAAGGAGCTTATAATGAATAGTTGCTATACTGAAAGTTGTTTTAATAGATTTTATTCACCAATCATTATGAAAAGCTCAAAATTATTATGAGTATTGGTGGTAATTATATAATTTTGGTAACATAGGCTATATAAATACAGTGTCTCATAAGTAAATTTAATAAAACAACTTTGGTGGTTCGAGAATCGTGGAAATCATCGAAAAACTGCAAAAACTGATAGCCCGTATACTATCTTATACAAATTCATTAATGGTCATATTTATAATTACTAAGATACTCAAGATACTTTTGTTATTATCCGATATAAGTAAAACTGAAGTTAAAATTTTCTTATATCCTTTTTCTTATATTAGTGTAGAAAATTTATATCATTAATAATTTTATTAGATCAGGAGGTATTTTACGTAATAGCTGATTGATGTTTGTGACTTTGCTCATTTGTTTAATGCATGTGTTTGTGAACTTGTCCTAAGAAATATTTGCATAAAAATGTACATGGATTTTTTTTTAGAATTCTGAAGAGTTTAAATTAGCATGTAAAATAATTATGTTTTATTGGAAATTATTGTTTGAAATGCATTTATAAAAGATATATTTTCAGTTTTAATATTTTTATAAGTGTAAATAACTATTCTAAAGTTCTGTTTTACTTTACTACAGATTCTAATTCTGAAAGTCCACATGCTAAATTGAGAGGCGCTCTTTCATCTAAAGAATCTTTTCTGAAGCATTATCTGGTAGTTTATTTTGGTAATTCTATGTTATATCATCATGCATTATAGCTGTAATGTTACTTTGAAATATTTTTATAAATTTTATTATCAATTTGAAGGAGTTATCAGAATTGACTATGGGAACATTTAAACACAACAGAAGAATAAGAACTGCACGTTTGATAGGGAGAGATTTAGCTCAATTATATATGTGAGTAAAATTAATGTATTTTTGTATATTTAGATGTAAAATATGGATTACATTTTTATTGGATGTATTTTTGGTACTAAACAACTTTGTAAAAATTAGTTATGTGCATTATTTTATATATAATGCTTAAATATAGTCTTCTTCTTGATAAAGTGACTAAAGCATAATTTAATGTCATATTGGCCTGAATATAAAGGCAGGGGAAAAAGAATATAAAATTGTAATTCTTAAAATTTTTTGAACCTCTCCAGTGGATAGTAAGTATAACTCTCAACCTCTTGTTCTTCAATTTAAATTTTGAGTAAATATTTTTATATGATAATTTTCGGGTATGAAAATATTAGTATTTTAAAATTTATTTTTGCATTTATTTAAAATGTATTTGTTTAAAATTACTGTATATGGCTATAATTGTTTGTCACATTTGCAAAAACATTTTAAAAAAGTTTTCCAATTGCAAATTTTGTAATTTTAATATAATGAGTTTTCTGAATGATGACTGCCCTATCCAAATTGAATTCTGGCCCTTTTTAGACACGAAATTGAAATAAAAAGACCTTCTATGAGTTTTTACCTTTTTTTCTCATGCGGAAGGTATTATCTGAAAAGCTTTGAGGCTTCGAAATTTTTCTTGTATTAGATGAACTCCTCTTTTGATGTAATTATTTTATCTCTGATGATGTGGAGTAAGAGGCCTAGCCTAGCGCACTACATAAATTAACTTCCTTGATCCTTGATCAAAGTTAATGCTGAGGGATGCATTTCATATATTCTGAAAGTAAAGATATAAGCAGAAAGAATATTACGTGCTACCATTAAGAGACTGACAACAGCTAACATTTGTAGAAGCAAAAAGCGGCTAGAATAGTTAACCTCCTCGCTTCTAACCTTCTTGTGGGAGCTTATGAAGAAGTCTTACAAGCATGGTTGAAGGACAGAATAATTGAACAACTGAAAAAAGAGCATGTAATGACTTCGGCTCCTTCTTACTCCTTCAAGCGGTAGTTAATAATTCAGTGACAATGAAAATTAGGTTATGGGGTTCCAACATTTTCTCTTACAGCTAAGTGTGTCGAACCTCAAGAACTGATAAGCGAAAAATCGCTTTAGCTCAGAAAACAGAAACCAAAACTCAAGAAGGGTTACATACCCTTTATTTCTCATAAGAAATTACAGACAGTTCCTGTCTTAGAGCATACAGAAAATCTTCCACTTTGGCTTGAACTCTACTAATAAATCAAACTTAACTAATGCTTAACTAAAAAGATATAGCTGAAGCTATCAAAATTCTAAGGAGTTGGGCGCCCTAAATGTTAACTAACTAGGTCAAGCTATCAAGGGCCTGAAGTATGGCTGAGTGTAGTAAAAGCTTTGAGAGAGTGTAGCCAAAGGGCAAACATGCTCTAGTCAGAGTCTTTTGCCCTCTAACGAAGTCACTGGAACTTTGCCTTAAGTACCACTCTTCCTCATTTTGCATTAACCACGATTCTAAAAACACACTCTGGCAGGAAATTGTAAGCTGAAATTTGGAGAGACAAAGTAGCTTTAACTAAAGATAACTGTTAAAAACTTAGGATAAACATTGCTAGGTCTATATTTGATGCCTCTGGGCATACTGCAGACTAGGTAATTCAGTGTGAATGTCTTCAGAAAGATCCGAATTTCCAACTAATTCTCTTCCTCATGAAAAAAAAATCTGCGCTTGAACCGGGTATAAAACAAGCCTTCTTTACTTCTAAAAGTGACAGAAACTACTTTAAATTTATCTGTATAGAAGACAATGACCCTACTAAGTTAAAGGTCTATGAACACTGTCGCATCGGTACGTGTAGCCTTTTTAATTCCTTGTACTAAGTAAAGGAAGTATAGTAATCACGAAAAATTCTGGGTACCATATTTCAGCGAAACTATTCAATTTGACTGCTATTGAATGCAATTTAATGATGTTTTTGCGTGACATCTGTTAGTAAGGACATAATAAAAGACTCTTTCGCCCAAACGAATTATAAATGTGATTTAAAAGGGATTTAGAAGAGATGCTTTTCATGGTGTCTGTATATACATACATATGCATGTATCTCGCATAACTCAAAAGCAAGTAGTCTTCAAATGTTAGGACTGCTGTAACATGTAGTTGTGCACCTTAGTTTTTCGTTGGAATCAGCTGCACCAAAAGCATATATATATATATATATATTATATACACTACCTGACATTGAAAATGCTACACCAAGAAAGAGTGGGCCGAAAATTATGCAAATTTCTGGCTAGACGCACATCACCGAGTTATGCGAATGATGTGAAATGCGCAGGCTCTCCAGTGCATGTTGAAGAAGTTATCAGGAAAGGAACGTGCAGAAGGTTCAATTTTAATACCCTTGCTTCTGCTAGGGAAAACATCATAGAAAATTTATTCTTTTCTCAGAGGACGCATGCGATAGCACAGAATGCCAGTCCGTCATCAAAGGAGGCACTTCCAGGAGACAGATAATTTTGCAAGGGGCATGGTGATCAGACTGAGAAGGGAAGATTTGTCCATATGGCAAATCTCAGCTGATGTGTCCACAGAGCACCAATACTGGCTGTGGTGACAATGGTTGGAACAAGGAAATGTGGCAAGTTCGAGGGGTGTCAGTGCAGCCAGAGTGACGGCAGCACGCATGAATCAGAACATCCGCCAATAAGCAGTGACAATCCATTTCTACTTCTATTCTGCAGCATGTTCAACACAACTTGGGTGTTCCCATATTGACCAGAACCATTTGCCATCGATTGGGGGCTAGTGGCCTGCACTCATAGCATCGGCCAAGAAGACTGCCATTGACTCCATATCATAGATGCCAATGGCACAGGGTCATGCTTCAGATGAGTCACGCTTTTGTTTCCCCAATGATATTCACTATATATGAGTGGTGGATCGGTGTGGAGACAGGTCTAATCCAGTAGCAGTTGTGGAATGCCTTACTGCGCAACATTGCAACATCATGGTTTGGGGCACAATTGCATACGATTCCATGATTTCAGACCACCTGTAATTCATCTTCAGGTCAGTATGATGGCCCATGCTTCATGGATGATGTGCTGCGAATCGTGAAACTCCGCAACCTTCACGGAATGCCCTTTACTAGCAGGATAATGCCTGACCACACACTGCTCGCATCAGCCAACATGCACTGCAAAGTATACAGATGCTTCCCTGGCCACCATGCTCTCCTAATCTCTCACCAATTGAATACATTTGGGATGTAATTAAATGCCATTTGCAGACCGTGCCATTGTCATGTTCAGAAGACAAACTGCGCAGTGGTTGACGGGGAATGGAGAGCCATTCCTCAGGACACCTTCATCCATAGTCTCATTGACTCTGTACCTAGATGTGTTGCTTCATGTATTGCTGTCCAAGGTGATCCTTCAACTTACTGAGCTGACGCTATTATCGCTGTGTATTTATTCATATCTTTATCAAAATAAAGATCACTTATTGTTCATTGCTGTCTTTCTGAGACTGCTGCATTTCATCACTTTCTGGTCATTCCTTCTTGGTGGTGCATTTTCATTGTTGGGCAGTGTATTTCTAAAATTCCATTTCTAAAATGACAGATTTATATTAAGATTATTGCTTCTCACAAACACTTTGTGGCTGCCATGTTTTCACGATTGCTTTTAATATGTTATTCGTAGCATTTTCTCATCTCAGAGACTTTCATCACATGAACTTTGGCAGGTAAGACTCATGATGATGGCAAAGTGTGCCTCCATGTTTATTCTGTTATTTAATAGAGCACAGTCTTTTAACATTTTGCGTATGAGCAAGTCTTGCTGGATAAGCAAAGCGAAATTTATGGGTCACAGTAAAATTTTTTGTTTTTCCTCCATATTAATAGTTTTTTTTTGTTTATGTTCACAAATTTTTCAGGGCCATCTATCCATTTATTTGACTGTCTGATTTGATGTAGAGAATATAGCTCACTCATAAAACTGTCTCAGTCAATAATTATATTTTCATAAAGGCTGAGTTGCTTAACTACCACTTAATTGACATCAGTGACAATCTTTTGATTTATGTGGCTGTCTGATTTGATGTAGAGAATATACCTCACTTATAAAACTATTCCAGTCAATAATTATATTTTCATAAATTCGAGTTGCTTCCCCCACCACTTAATTGACATCAGTTTCGCTGACCAACAATAAATAAATTTCTAAATTGTTACAAACAGTATTTTGAAAATGTATGTTTTAACAACTGGCTCAGAAAATCTTGTCAAAACACATATTTTTCTTTCACATGTGGTTTTTAAGCTACACCTCCAAATGCTTTCATTGATATGCTGTTTTATTTAACAGCCATTTTTGCATATTTGAATGTGAGGTAGAGTATGTCCAAGGAAGATTTAGCACTTCCTTTCTTCTTCACTTGGTAAATGGAATATTTTTCATATTTTGTTGCAAAAAAGGAAATGTGTCAACACATGAAAAGTTTTAGAACTCGTCTTTTGATGCAAGATGAGTGATCATGATTGTTAACGTTTACGTGGAAGAAAGAAAATATAATAAGACCTTGTTTGCTTGGAGCTCTTCTCATCACAAGTAAACTATAAATGATTGTTGCTTTTGGCCATTGGAAGATGGTTTATGTTGATGATTTATCAATAACCTTGGGTCTGTTTGCAAACCTGGGGCCATAATAATCCAAAACTATATTTATTCTGTTGAGTATATTTGTATAATTTTAAGTATTGAGTGTTGTTTTAATAACTTAAGAAAATTATAATGTGAGGATCCTGTAGTTTTTGTTTTTCCTCTCTCTATACATAAAATTTCCTTTCTGTATTTAAAAATATTATTTGCTTAAAGTGCTTAAAAAATTAAGTATAATTTTTTTCCTCCTATATTATTTGCTACTTATCTTTGGGATGTGAATAAATCATGACATGAAATAACAAAATTAATTATAACTTGCAAATTATGCCTCATGTATGTTAAAAGTTGAAGTCAAA